CGTCCGTTGATCGGAAGCGACCGAAACCGCCACTGCGGCAGCGGTGGCAACCGGAGACGACGAAATCTGTGGGTTGGAGAAGATGGAAAACAGCACGAGAGACTGAGAGAGGGAAGCTTTCGCGAAAGAGGCGACTGGTTCGGGGAACAGACGAGAAGAAGGAAGCCGAACGAACTTGCGAATATGTGAATAGTAGGGTTTTTTTTCATTTTCGTATAAGCGTTGTCTAATCCTTACCGTATGATCAGATCCAACGGCACAAATTAAGCCAATCTCGAACCCTTCGGTTATCCAAAACCGGCGCCGGTTTGCCGGTTCAACGGTCGGATCGGCAGTTCGACCAGTTCGAAGCCGGTTCGATGCGAAACCGACTCTCAAGAGAACCGTAACCGGCCGGCCGGCTGGTTCGCGGTTCAACCGGTTGAACTGGACGGTCCGGTCCGATTTTAAAAGCCTTGGTTCAAACACTCACATCTCTCAGTATGAACACTGATCATCATGAGAAATGAAGTCGGCTAACAAGATGTTCAACATCATTTTATAGAAATATGGCAACACTCTAGTTAGGCAATATCATATTAGGAAGACTTGCCAAAACGTGTCCTATCATTGAATTGCCACTCCCAATAATTAGTCCCCCCAAGGAGATTGGTCTGGGTTGATTTAGTCTAGAGATGTCACTCATCCTAATAGGAATCATCTATCAACAGACACTCTCCTTTGCTGGAGCCACTCGATTGCTACTGACACCATCATCATAGCAATAGAAAACCTACACATCTAAAAAGATATCGTTATGATTTCTCTTACATTTGGATAATTCCATAGGGGAACTCGCCCTTTTGTATTTTCTGATGTCAGAATCTTGCCTAAAATGAACTCATTGTCACATCCAAAGAATTTGCATTCATAGAAGCGCCTCACTGTTCTTAGCCAGAAGAATTTTGCTAAAAAGCATAGATTTCTCTATAAAAATTATTGGGGTAATTTGCCAGAGTTTTGGGACTGCCTTTTTGAAGCTTTCTCCCTTCATTCAAATAGAAGCCTTATCTACTCCTTTTATTATAAGCTCAAAGCTTTAAAAAATAGTATCAAATATAATTCCTGGGCTTCTTCCAATTTTCTTAAAAGAGAGATTGATTCTCTCTGCTGCTCAAGAGTTTTATCTGTCTTCTATCCAACATCATCCACTGGATCCTGGATTAAATAAATCTCTCAAGGAAATCAACATCAAACTTGCTAAGAAGAAACTGGATTACCAAAGAGGTAAAGCGCAATGGCTCACTAGCGACGAGGACGATCTAAAATTCCTTTATTCCAAGATCAATGCTAGACACAATATTAGTTCTATCAAATATATTAGCACTTCTGATGGTATTTTTTGGGAACCTCATGATATTTTTTGAAGTTATTATTCAACATTTCAAGAGGCTTTACAATCCTGATTTTCATCCTACTACTCACAACACCCTCATTCTAATGGGTGACATCATTCCTCCTAAACTCCATTCCTGTCTGATCATCCCTGTTACTGTGGAGGAAATAAAGGTTGTTATCTTTTCCTCATCTTCTTCCAAGTCTCCTGGACCGGATGGCTTTACCTATGACTTTTATAAAGCTACATGGAATATCATTGGTAAGCATCTTTGTGAAGTTGTGATCTCTTTTTTAACTAATGCCTCTCTTCCCAAGCAGGCTAAAGCTACTGCCATTATGCTTATCCCAAAAAACCCCATGCTGACAACATCTCGGAGTTTAGGCCAATTTCTTTATGCAACACTTTCTATAAAATTATTGCAAAAATCCTTGCTAATAGAATGAAAGGGATTATACCTTTTAGCATTCATCCCAGTCAGTCTGGATTTATCCATAATAGATCTATTTCTAACAATATTCTACTTCCTTTTGAAATCCTTGGGGAATTTAATCTTAAGAGGTCTGATAAATTCTTCTATGCCAAATTTGACATACACAAAGCTTTTGATTCAATTTCTAGAGAATTTATCTCAATCGGCTTCTTTAAAAAGGATTTCCTACTCAGTTTGTTAAGTGGATTAAAGGTTGCATCATGGATGTATTCTTCTCAATTTATATCAATAGAGCCTTGGAAGGTTTCTTCAACTCTAAACTGGTATTAGGTAGGGCTGCCCTTTGTCACCCTACTTATTCAATATAACTATGGATGGGCTTTCCTCTCTATTTGAGGAAGCTACTTTGAACAATCAATTTTTGGGAATTTCCAATGAGGGACTTACTATCTCTCACTTGCTTTATGCCGACGATCTGCTCGTTTTTGGGAAAGCCAACTCCTAGAATTCCACCAAACTGAGAAACATTCTTAACTCTTTTGGGTCATGTTCTGGACTTCATATTAACTATGCCAAAAGCTCCATCTTGTTCTCTAAGAATGTTCGTGAGGAGGATTCTATCTGCTGTATTCTCAATGTCCCTACCACCAATGCTCCCTTTAAGTATCTGGGGCTTCCTATTTTCAATAAAAAGCTCCATAAGAATGATTTTCAAATCTTGATGCAAAAACTGTATTGTCATATGGATGGTTGGAAAGCTAAGACCCTCTCTTTAGCTGGTAGAATACAATTCATTAAATTTACTATATCCAATACTTTGGCTTATTGGATTAGAGGAGTTCCCCAAATTGTGTTGTAAAATCATAAATAGCTTATGCTCCAGGTTCTTATTTTTTGGGAACGTTCACAAGAAAAAACTCCATTTACTTTCGTGGAAAGAAACCTGCAAGCCCAAACCATTTGGTGACCTTGGGATACCTAGTATTGAATCTCTCTATCATGCTTTTGGGTGTGCCCTGATTTGGAGATTTTTTTACTTCTAATAATTTACTATCTCACTGGTGGAAGCTTAAATATATGTCCCTGTGGAACATGGATACCAACAGGAGGTAGCTATTAAGATTAAAAATGCTATTAAACTCACTATCCAGGGAGATTCTTCCCTTGCTTTCTTATGGGACCCATGGTGTAATGGGAAATCAGTTATGGATTTGCTTATTGGTGTTAATATGGAGCATATTGGGTATAATTTCTCTAGAAATACGGTTGGTAATTTCCTTTTTGAAGGGACCTGGTGGCTTCCTGCCTACCTTCCTTATTCGGTTACTGCTGACATTATATCAAACTAGGAGAATACGGGCAACTATAACTATTGTTGGAATGACTTTGATAAACCCGTTATTAAGAACTTTTTGTATCATTTTTATGATATTAACCCCAAAGTGGATTGGCATTATTTTGTTTGGCATAAAACCATGCAATCTGGTACTCGGCTTTTGCCTGGATGGCTATTAAATGTGGTCTCAAAACTTCTGATTTGCTTATTAAAAGAGGAATTCCGGCTGCCTCTACTTGCATTCTTTGTTCTGCTGAACCTGAATCTCACTCTCATTTGTTCTTCGAATGCGATTTTTCTTATGATATACTGAAAATTATCATTCTTCATTCTGATTTCTTACTGCTGAGACCAACACTTCACTAGTTTTTTTTACATCTCGAAGAAAGGAACACCTGCAGGCAAATGAAAAACTATTACTTTCTTATGACTTGCACTACTACTTA